TCAGCATTGCGAAGAAGTTAGAGCCTATGAACACACTTGCATCATCAGTTTGGTGGGTTTTTGGATTTTATTGGATTGTTGTTGGTGGCCAACCACTTCTCGAAGATTCTCCGCGTCTTTACTGGTAATAACCTCAGTTTGTATGTGTTTTCCCATTTTCATTTTTTTGGAACTGTTGGCCAGGTCTTAAATGTTGTCATCAATGCCAATAAAGAGTAGTCAAAGTAGTGCAGATTTTTTTATACCGAGTAATCTTCATCATCTTAGTGCAAATCATCAGTTTAAAAATGCAAAGATAATTTTATCTTCTCCAGAGTTCCGTAACCAAGCAAAGTAAGCATTGAGTAGATTATACTTAAGAATTCATAAAAGGGATAATTGTAGCTATGTTATTAAACTCAGCCGTTATCTCGGCACAGAATGGCAAAACCAAAAAACCGCGTCAGCCGTGCCGTTTCGGTCACAGATGGGTTACTCAGCTTGAACGACCACGATAATGAGATTGGATTCGGCCATTGTCAGCCTAATATGATATTTATTACCCTTAAATGTTTAAGGATAACAAAATTATTTTATTGAATTTTATTGGCATTTGGAAGTATGTTACTTAAGACGTAGTTTTTATTTCTAAATATGAACACTTCATGAATTTTGATTAATTTATTTTAGTTTTTAACAATTACATGTTCATTCGTATTTATTGTATTAGTGTCAGCGTCACTAAAATGTCGTCCGTTCCGCTCTCTGATCCCGTTCCGTTCCCTTCTCCGGACCTTGCAATGATGAAGAAAACTAGCATTGTGATGTCCTTTTTTATTTATTAAGAAGGATAAGTTAGTAACTATGCTCATATTTTTTGTTCTGTCTTTAATTTCTTTCAATTGTTGGTGAAGTTGTGCAAGGTCCTTTCCTTCCTCAGGAAATCATAATCATTTCTCAATTCTCACAAATTCGCCGGCTAATTTACATGTCTCTCTGTTATAGCTATTTCAATCTTGAATCTGGATAAAATACAATGTCTACTGATTTAACTGAAGAACTCTGTTGAATAGTTTGACTCTTGGTTAGGACTAATAAGCTTCATATGTTGAGATCTTGATCTAAAACTTGAACTGAAAATTCAGAGTTGCCTTTTCCATGATATGATGCATAGGAAAGCCCTGGTTGAAAATGCTCGAATTTCTTGACCGAGATAAATTTTGCCAAAGTAGGTTCAGGTAGAATTGTGATTACTATGACTGTTTCCAATAAGACCTTTAAGCTTGACATGATTTTATTAGAATTCGACCTCTTGTTGAACCTAGGGGTTCAGAGTCTGAGTTTCATACTAAGGCTCTGTCAAAAGGCTGAGCTCAACCTAGAATCAATAAATAGAATTTGTTTGTATTTTACTAGTTCATTATTTGTTTATTTCATCCCAACATAGAAAACTCTTATTTTTAACATAATTATTCACTCTTATGTCATCTGTCATTTATTTGGTGTCTCAAACACATAATGATGTTATTATCACATTCTTGCAGGTTAACAGTGGTCTTTCTAGCCTTTGACGTATTTTTTATTATCTTTTGCATTGGGATGGCATGTATAGTTTTCTTTGCTCTGTTCTGCATCATCCCAATAATAGCGTTGGCTTATGCATTAAGAATCAGAGAAGGGGCTTCAGAAGATGATATCAGGTCACTTCCTATGTATAGGTTTAGTCAGTCAAATGTAATGGTTATGGTTGATGACAACAACAACAATCAACTTGTTAAAGCAAGAATCGGTTCATACAATCAAAGCCATATAAGTGAACTATCTCTTCATCCCGATGATTCTGTAAGTACAAAATGTTCCTTCTCTTAGCTCTCATTCCATAATGCTTTAGTTTTAGTTTTACTTTGTGTTGTAACTCGTAACTTGTAAGTAGCTGTATGTATGGATTGGATCTAACTAGGATTTATGCTGCAGGAATGTTGTATCTGCCTAAGTACATACGTTGATGGAACAGAACTTTATCGCCTTCCCTGTACCCACCATTTTCACTGTGGATGCATCAGCCGATGGCTTCGGACAAAAGCAACTTGCCCGCTCTGCAAATTTAATATTCGAAGAGCCGACACATTGGTCTAACATTCTGTTGATAAAGACTAGACGGCACTGAGGTTAAGTATTGCTTGAGAGGACATGACAGTGGAGAACCAAAATATTTGCTAATCTGCTGACTAGTGTTGGTATATATAGTATATATAAGTAGGAGAAAAAAAAAGAAAGAAATGATCCACCATTTCATCTTAGGATTTTAGATTCCATAAAGGTATTTTAACTTTTAAATATTCTGAAGTTAGTTTATGATGGGGTATATGTATGTATATATTGTGGGCCAGTCAAAAGGGTCTCCCCCATAATTTGTACTTATATATAAGGCTATTACAAAAACAATTTTCTGTACAGTATTTTCTTCTAGCACTTTATCGCCTCCAATCACAAGTTCAAGATTGTATGCTTATACCAAAAAAACTCAAATATCAAATTGAAATGAGAAAAGACTTTGAAATAATTTATTAAAAGTAGCGACTATTTTGAGATACTCTCTGACAATATACTTATCCACTTTACTGTAATTTATGAACCACAGTCAACAAATAGTCTACACTATGCTTATTGTTTTCAAATGCATAGCCAAATACTATTTTTAGGACAGGCCATGAGATTTTTTGTCATGATCAAATTAAAATGAGGGTGTAGTCGTAATGATTTGTATTTTTTCTTTGAAAAAGCAATAATAATTTGTTTATAATTAATATTTTTTTTAAAAATAAAATGCTACTTAATCTTTCTTGTTATGAAATTTGAATTTGGTTTAAATAAGATTATTTTGGTTTTTTAAATATGATTTCGGTCTTTATAGATATATATTATTTTGATTTTAGTCCTGTGAAAACAATAATTTATATTATTTTGATTTATAGATATATATTATTTTGATTTTAGTCCTGTGAAAACAATAATTTATATTATTTTGATTTATAAATATATATTATTTTGATTTTAGTCCTGTGAAAACAATAATTTATATCTTATAAATTTTTAAGGCAAAATATTTTTTTTTCCTTAATTATATCGCTAAGTTTAAATTGGTCCCTTAATTATTTTTCGTGTCAGATTAGTTCCTCAACTCTTTAAAACGTGTCTCAAAAACCGGTCGTTAAATTCGTCGCCAATTAGATAAAAAGACCAACATAACACATTTTAAAGAATTAAAGGACCAATCTAACACAAAATAATTAAAAGATCAATTTGAACCCAAAATTATAGTTAAGGGAAAAAAAATATTTTACCATTTTTTAAAAAAAAAATAAACTAAAATCCATTGAGATCACAAAATTTTGTCCATGTGCCACTAATTAATTGAATTAATGTTGTTAATGATGTGTATTATATATTTTTTAAAGAAAAATTTCAGAACTTAAAACTATATGCTAATAAAAGAAAATTTTACCAAATATTAACATGAGAGTCGTTTTTGACTGAGTAAAATTTATACAAAAAACATCAAAGCCTCTTTTTCGGTTATTATACAACATTATTAAAAATATTAATCAAACTTCAAAAAGTAAATTGTATATCCTTTTTAGGAATAATAATTAAAACAAAGTTTGAATAAAGATAAACGAACTTTGAATATTAGATAAATCATGTGTTATTAAAAAATGTTAATCATCTAAATGTTTACACATACTATATTTATTATAAAAAAAAATAAACCTCTTTTGCTTAGGTCAAAGAAAATCAATGTCCTTAAATTATAACAGAATTACTATCATTCCACCTACCTATATGCATTAATTTTGTCAAATTATCCATATAATTTGTAAAGATATTTTTATATCTAAAATAAAAAGGGACAAACATTCTTTGATTCAATAATGTTTCTAATCGAGTTTGAGGATCAAAATGGTAGGAAAAACATGGAACATGAGTCATACTCAGTTCATTTATTCATACAGACATCAGAGAACACAGTCCATTGATTTGTTTTCATTCTTTTTGAACATAAGCATTTAAAACCACTGCAAAATGAGTTCAATTCAAAATCCAAATACATTAATCTTTGAATTTCAAATCAAACCCTTGATAATACAAACCAAGACTGGATGTCAAAACCTAGTAATGATAATGACAAAGGTTGTGCTACAAACAATCACAAAATCTCACTAGTTAAAGTGGTGTTAGAAAAGAAAGGATAATTATCTATATTTGAGAAAATATAACAAGACACCGAGCAATCATGCTAAGACAGAATTCATTCCACTCTTCAATTTTCTTCTTAACAAAATGATAGAATCTGCTATTAGCTAATTTGTTTTCATCACTTAACCTGCAACAAACAACACAGAACAATATTCCCAAACAACCTAAACCTACATTGCACTGAAACTTTTAATTTAAGACGTTTCTTGTCTCTCATATCAACGTATGTAGTTACATTAAATCACCTCCATGCTTATGTGTCAGTGTCGGTTTCATGTTCATGCTTCATATACTTAAACACTTCAAAATGGGAATAATTAAAATATCCAAACACATTGATCATTGACAGGTCATGTCGAGCACCAAACAGCCTGAATGTATTTTCATATGTGAGTTTTGCGTAAGTGTCAGACACTAACACATGTCGAACACCTAATACCCCAAATATATTTCTATACAATGGTTCCACGTAAGTGTCGAACACCTAATACCCCAAATATATTTCTATACAATGGTTCCACGCAAGTGTCCGATAGTAACACGTGTCGAACACTGAACACCATTTAATAAGAATTGTCAATGCTACATAGATTTCAAATCAAACCTCCTATTTCAACATTAACCAAACAGAAGGCATATACAATACATAAACTAAAAATCTTGATTGAAAATGAACAAAATTGTCAAAATACACCAGAAAAAAATGTTGACAACAAGGGCAGAATGGAACATTAGAAAATCAGAATTAAACCTGCAAACAGATATTAAACACCTTCCAATTTCTTCATCTTGGAAGGTGGCCAATTACCCTTCTTCCTCAACCTCCTCTTTTGAACAAGCCTCTTTCTCTTCAACCTTATCTTCTTGGCAAGCTTCATCTTCAACCTCTTCTCTTCCCTCTCCTTCAATTTTGATTCTAATGGAAGCTTCTCTACAGAAACACCACCACTCTCTTTCTTGCTCTCACTTACTTGTACTTCATCTGCAACATTAGAATCAGCAGCAGCAGCAGCGGATGCAATAAAAATAGCATTTTTACTCGGTTTCTCAACAATGGGTGCGGAGATTTGAAACCCCTTCAAACAGTTGGTGGGCAGGCCAATTCGTAATCTAGAAACTGACACACAATAAGTTGGAGAAGATTAAGATCAGAGAAACAACAAAAACAATAATAAAAAGAGCATGAAAAAGTAAATTGGAGAAATTAAGGAGAAGAGAGTGAATAATACTTACTAGGGTTTGGTGTGGGATGAGGGAAAAGGGAGGAAGAAGAGGTAACAGGGGTGATTGTGAAGGAATTGAAGCAGAGAAGTGCCATAGTGTTTGGTTATTTTTGAAATGAAGAATTGGTTTATATGATGTTATGTTAAGGATAAGAAAGGCACATCACATGTGTGTCTTCTTCCATCTTCACCACTTACCACCGTCGTTCTTCAACTAATATTACTATAAGTTATTTTTACACTATTATTTCAATATGAATTCAATCATTTTACATAATTAATTTTAAAAATATCAATATGATTTATCACAATATATGACTTAATAATATAAAATAGTTTAATTGTCCTCTATTCACGGTGTAAAATTGTTGTACGATGTTATCCAATAAAAATAGTCATTCTACCATATTATGTATTTAAATATAACAACGGAGTGGGTCGGAGGAGAATTTAAATAGTTCTGCATCCGCCTCCGCACTTAGTCGGAGCTAAAAAACTACCACCCAGATCCGTTCCCAATTAAAAATGGATTCTCCGTCTCCGCTCCGCTTTCAACCACAAAATTATTTTTTAAAAATTAAATTTTTTTCTAACAATAAAAATTAATAATTTAATTAAATAATTAATTATTTTAATAATAAACATGTTTTTAAAGAGTAAAATAACTAATAGAAATATTTTTTTAGTAAAACTATTTTTAAAAATTAAAATAATTCTAATAAATATATAATAAAATAATTAAAATAAAAGATAAAAGTAAATTAAAATAGAACGGAACGGGGACGGGACAGGGGCGGGTAGTAGCATTCTCCTGCACCTGTAATAGAAAATTGAGTTTTATCCGCATTCAGTTAAATCGAGTTTTTTCATTAATTTCAGGGCGAGTCCGGGCGGATCTGAGTTTCCTTACTATGTTTATATATAATTAGGATAAATTTTCATTATGACTTGACAGGATGCAGATCATCATTGATTGAAAGTGTAAAATAAATTTATATAATGTATTATCTTTTTTTCCTATAAAACAAATTTATACAGTAGGTTTATATTTTTTTACTCTACTATTTTTTTGAAAATTTTAAGATTAAATTGTTCCGGTATGGGCCTCACCTCGGCAGGCCCAATACCAAATGCGGCCCAACAAGCGAACTGGGCGCGCCTGGCACGCGCCCCTTCAGACGAGCAGGACTGGCCGCCGGGCACAAGCTACCGCTCCGCGCCCCTTTTGTCGTCCGTCACGCCGGACGAGCAAGACTACCCGGGCTCCCTCCGCGGGAGAATAACGTGCTCGGCGCACGTTCTCCACGTGCTCCCCTCCGCGGGGACACGTCATCGCCCAACCGCCCACCTCCGAAAGAGCCGGTCAAACCCACTTTCCGGAGACCTAGGAGCGGTTGAACTAGGGCGAAGACCACGTCCTGGTCTTCACTACGCCACGTAAGCCCTAGCAGTCATTAGGGTTGGGCCTGGTCGTCTGGCCCACCTCGAATGACCGTTGGCCCAGCGCTGGGATCTCTCTATAAATACCCTCTTCTTCAAGAGGGTCAGGTAATCCACTTCTTACCCAACTTTCTGTTCTTGCTCTCACTCTGCCCAAATTCTGACTTTGGCATCGGAGTGCCTTGCAGGTACACCCCCTCCTCATCCTCAACACCGGTGAATAGGAAGCAGCCTAACGGAGCGTGGCCATCCCGTGATCCCCTCCTGATCAGGTCAGATCAGTGGCGCCGTCTGTGGGAAACTGAAACTTCCCCGTTACTCCGAGCAGAAAAACCAAAAGTTTCACCAAACCTACACGGTCATGGCCAGCCCACGCCGCGATGACACTCTGCACGATCTTGCGCTCAACACCGCCACCAACGGGAAGCAGATAGGAACGGCACGCCTGACGGAAGCCGACGAAAGGGACGGGCGAACTGCTTCACCATCATCCGAGGAACGGCCCCTACAGGCCGACCATCGCCCCCCGAGCCCGCCAGCATTCCACCCCGTTCCCATCCCGGCGGGAGCAGACCCAACGGTAGCCGCTCTCTTTGCAGCCATCAACCAGACGAACCAGCTGCTGTTCCAACAGAACGCTAGAATTGGAGCATTGGAACGCGGCGGCTCCCCGAGGTACCCCCAGCGGGAAGACCAGAACGGAGGTTCGAGGAGCCCCTCACCTCGACTCGGGAACCGCCGACCACGGCTGGAGAGACACCGCCCGCAAGCGACACGGGAGCGCACCAGATCCCCGGCGAGGCACGGTCGCGGGAGGAACCAGAACGCCGCGGCGATCCCAACCGAGGAACCCCGAGGCGGGAACTCAGGCCGAAGATCAAGGACCCGAAACCCGGGACACACCGCGAACGACTCATCTCCCCTGAGATCCCCGGCGCACAGCGACGAGGATGACTACCGCACCCCACTATCCCGGGAGATCATGGCAGCCCCCATACCCCAAGGAATGGAGAAACCACCGACGCTGTCAACGTACGACGGCACCTCCTACCCGGACGATCATCTGGAAGATATCGAGGCTATGCTCGACTACCGAAATGTCCGGGGAGCTATTAAATGCAGACTCTTCCCGACGACTCTGAGGAAAGGCGCTATGACCTGGTACAAAAGTCTGGAGCCCGAATCAGTTACGTCGTGGAGGGTCTTGAAGGACCTATTCTCCAAACACTTCACGGCGTCCCGGCGTCACCCGAAGACGGAAGCAGTCCTCGGGGCGATCATCCAAGGCCCCGACGAACCTCTCCGGAAATACATCGAAAGGTTTACTCGGGAAGCCGTACAGGTGACGACTTCCGACGAAATGAAACGCTACTTAATGGAACAAGGCCTGCGTCATGACTCCAAATTCTACGAGGCCGTAGGCATACACCGGCCCACGTCCCTCCAAGACTTCCTCGACAGGGCCGCACATTACATCCGGTTCGAGGAAACACAAGCGGCCAACTCCGCTCGCGACACCCGAGACAGAGAAGCCCCCCGCGGGCACCGAGACGACGGAGCTTCGAGCCACCGACGAGGAGGGGACCGCCGTCGGGATGACCGCCACCGCGAACCCCGCGAACAGCGCGAGCCACGCGGCCCGGCAGGAAGGTTCACCGAATACACCGCCTTGGTCGCTTCACGCGAACGCATACTGGCCGAATGCGCTAAAACCGAGTTTGTGCAGGGAGGTGTCCGTTTTCCACGACCAACGCCGCCCAAACCCAACGTGGACAAGTCAAAGTACTGCCGGTTCCACAGGACCCACGGGCATGTAACGGAAGACTGCATTCATCTCAAAGACGCGATTGAAATCCTAATCAAAGACGGGCACCTAAAGCGATACACCCGAGGAGGTGAACCACCCAGGTCGGAGGCTCCGGAGGCTAAGAAAATCGAGGAACTCCCCTCCCCAGAGGACGGCGAGAGACTCCAGGTCGCGCTGTGCGTCGGCCGCCCCGAGGATTGGTTCGCGAGCAGAGGATTCGGCATCCCCGAAGGACCCAGCCTAGTCGACGAGCCAATCCGACCAACCAGCCGATGGGAATACTTCCCCAGAGCCATGGTCATCTCTGATGGAGCTACGAGGAGTCTGTCCGTAGGATCTGTGAAAAGGAAATTCGACGAACTCATCGCGGGCAACTCCGGCAAGATGAGCACGCTCGACAGATTCCGAGGCCGCTCCAACCCGATCACATTCTACCTCGAAGAACTACCCGGGGGATCTCCCAATTCCAACATACCCTTGCTCATACGTGCACGAATGGCAAACTTCGACGTCAGGCGCCTCCTCGTCGACGGTGGGAGCTCGGTTGACATAATGTACTCACATTTGTTCACAACTCTCCAGCTCAACGAATCCAACCTCTCCCCCTACGTAGGCTCCGACCTCCAGGGGTTCAACGGGACGACGGCGAGACCCTGGGGATACGTGGAACTGAAAGTCACCTTTGGGGAAGAGGAAACGGCCAGAGACATCAGCGTCCGCTTCTTAGTCATCGAATGCCCGTCCCTATATAACTGCATCCTGGGCAGGACGACGATAGCAGAACTCACCGCGGTACCCTCCACCGTCCACCTGAAGATGAAATATTACACGAGAAGGGGAGCCGTGGTCACCCTCAACGGCGACATCGAAGCTGCCCGAAGGTGTTTCGAAGCCGCGCTGAAAGGCCTCGACTCCATCGCTCCACCGACCAAAAAGAAAGCGCCAAGCGCTACGCCAAAGGACAAACCAACAGAGCTGGTCGGATCCGTTGAGCTCGACAGTCGCTTCACCGACGAGCTCGACAATAAAAAGACTGACGAAGCCAACGAGCAGCCCCCGCACCCAGCGCGCCCCATCCCGGATGGCGAATTCGAGCTCATTCCCCTCGGGGAAGACACAACCAGAACCGTGAGGATAGGCGCAGGACTCCCCGACCTCGCGAAACGACAGCTCCAAGCCTGCCTCCGCGAGAATGCCGACCTCTTCGCCTGGAGCGCCGCGGAAATGCCGGGACTCGACCCTGAGGTCGCCTGCCACCAGCTGTCCATCAACCCAACCGCAAAGGCCGTGGTACAACGCCGACGCCGCCAGTCCCCCGAAAAATCGGCAGCAGCCGAACAAGCTGTAAAAGACCTCTTAGAGGCAAATTTTATTTCGGAAGCCCGGTATTCCACCTGGCTGTCCAACGTTGTACTTGTTAAAAAGAATAATGGAAAATGGCGCATGTGTGTTGACTACACTGACCTCAACCGGGCATGTCCTAAAGACGCCTACCCCCTCCCCAATATCGACAAGCTCGTCGACAACTCGGCGGGCTACAAACTCTTATCCTTCATGGACGCATACTCGGGATACAACCAGATCCCGATGGCCGAACACGACAAACAGGCCACGACCTTCATGACAGCATCGGGCAATTACTATTACAACGTGATGCCCTTCGGCCTCAAAAACGCCGGGGCCACGTACCAACGGATGATGAACCACGTCTTCCGCGACGAGATCGGGGACATGCTCGAAGTATATATGGACGACATGATCGTCAAATCCGGCGCGGAAGACGACCACGCGGCACACCTCCAGAAGGTCTTCAAGACCGCGAGATCATGTCGCATGCGTTTTAACCCG